ACCCTGTTTGTACTTCTGCTGAGACAGATTGGTGTTTTAACAGTCTGTGATATATTAAATACTCTACCAACACACCAATTAAAAACATTGATTCTTCTTGGTCTTCCTTGTCTTGTTCAATTTCTATATGCACGCTATTGAAAATATCATGGCCCTTTATCACTTTGAAGAGGTCCTTCACAGCAGCTTTTTCATATGCAATTTTTCCTGTTGATTTTTTGGTTGTTGATACTAGAGGTACTGGTAATGGAAAATATCATTGACAACTTCATTCTTTTCTTCATCAATCAGGATATTGCCTATTGGTCCAGTGGTGAGGATTTTTGTTTTCTTGATATCCAGATATATTGAGATGTAATCCATATTGAAGACTTTGGGAGCCCTGGCAGTTTTGTGATAAGGGAGTTTTGCTGCCACCTGAAACATTTGCTGCTCAAATTGGCCAGCTGCTTCATGGGAGAAAGGTGGGCAGTCTCCTCCTGGGTGATTTACAGTATCTGAAAACTAGAAAGTCAGCTGTGATGGGTTCCAACTTGACAGCACATAGTGGCAACAATTTCAGGAAAAAGATGGACCATCTACAGCCTCTGAAATCTGCTGGAGGGTCAACTATGAGTGGCATCTGACTCAATGGCAATGAATTGTTTGGGTTTTGAGTCTTGAATCTTCTTCAGCAAGTACTTCAAGTCTTCTTTCTGTACACAAGGTTGTGCTATCTACATAATACAGTTCTAGCCATATTAAAAGTGGTGGACTCTGTACGATGGTGCTCTTGTTTTGGTAGAGGATCTGTGTGGATTGTGTGGTGGTTTTTATTTAAGCCTCTTGTTTAGAGTCAACAAAACCTCCAGGAGGGCCCTTATATTTAAAAGTTGGGCCCAAAGGATTATATTTTGACCCCTTGTTACTATTTTGGGGGGGCTTTTAGAAGAAATAAATATGTAGCTGTTGTAAGTAATACAGCACTCTGGTGTATTTGCTGAGCTGAGATAATCTGGGTTTGCTGTGACACTGAACAGTTTGCCATTAGAGTCTCAAATGCCATAATGGAACAACTGTGCCATAGGTTTGCCAAACATCATTATGGCTACCCATCATGGGAAGTGTTTGGTGGAGCTACCAGACTGATTAAAGTTTGGAAGTAGGAGTGGCATCCATTTCCTAAACCACATGCCTGTGTAAACTCTATGAATCTAGAGAAATGGTGATAGTTGCAGAAAGGCTTCAGGCCTTTTGCTTATATATATACCCCTCAGGCCCGACTGATATTTGAATACATGGACCCTATATCTATTTATATTTCTATTTATATAAATAGATATAGGGTCCATGTATTGAAATATCAGTTGGGCCTGAGGGGTCTAGTGCTTTTTTGGAGGAACATTCTTAAAAATTTTCCAGCACTCTTCTCTCAGTTTTTTGCTGCATTGAGGTAATCTGGGTTTGCTGTGATGCTGAACCTTGTGTCATGGGGGGACAATTGCCATAATGACTGCCCAAAGTGGACAGTGTTTGGTGGAGCTCCCAGTTTAAGACAAGTTTGGAAGCAGGAGTGGCCCCACTTCCTAAACCACATGCCTCTGGAAACTCTTTGAAATGGGAGAAACAATGATAGATATAGAAAGGTTTCATGCCTTTTGTTCATAGGGTTGCTGTGAGCTGTGCTCGACTGGACGGCATTGAACAACAACATCTCAAAAAGCATTTAGTCATCTTCTGAAGCAGCTGGATTCTATAGAGGTTTGTTTTCTAGTTCTGGTGAGGATTAGGGTGGAATGATTACTCGCCATTGGGTGTGAGTTGATTGTATTCAGCTTCCAATTGGAAAAGAAATTTGGTCAAATATTCTTCTAAGTGGTATAGTACTGATCTGTCCATTTGCTCTATAGAGGGAACTTGTGGTTGCTGTGATGCTGAACACTGTGACACTGATGTGTCACATATGATAATGGTTAGCCATGGTGGACAGTGTTTGGTGGAGCTCCCCAATTAAAACAAGCTTGGAAGCAGAAATGGCATTCACTTCTGAAATTGCTTACCTCTGGAAACCCTACGAACCTAGACAAAGGATGAAAGTTACACAGGTGTCAAGATCTCTCGTTCATAGGGTTACTAAAAAGTCACCTACAGCTCGATGGCACTTAACAACAACACTACCACAAGAGCCACGTGGTTTTTTGTCTCTCAAGAATGATTTATCATCAATAGTAATTAATTCTATATAATACAATGTCTGTGAATGAGTGTATGAAACACACTGCAAATGAAGGAGTGTATGAAGCACAATATACACGAATGAAACACAATGTATATGAATTATTGTGTGCAAACCAATAAAAAAGAAAAAATAATTTTTTAAAAAAATAATTATTTAACACCGCTGTTTCTTTCTGTTAGGTAATAAAAACACATCATACTTGATATGCTTCTTTGCTGTGTTCAGACTCCTAAATTATTCCCTATCATCTGCCACTGCCCAGCCCCTTATTCCAACCTAACTTTCATTCTCAACTCATTGTCTCATTAACGTTGGGACTGGGTCACAGTTGCCTCTCCAGCACCCATCTTTCTCCCCTGGTGTGACTAGTGCATTTGAATCGAGAGATAACACATTTGGTTGGAATGCAGCTTCCTAGGGACTATTGGTCTTCCTCTGATCTACCAAGAGTTCTGTTCATCTTTCCTTTTCCTATTCTGTTTCATGTCTTTCTCTCCATTCAAGCTTATAAAAAAATTTTTAAAAGGATCATCAATGGGAAAAGAGAAAGATTCTGCATCCAGTGATATGTGCATCCAGTAAAAAAAAATGTATTTGTATGCACCATGTTTAACACAAGAATAAAAGCATGGGTGCTGCATCCAGTAAAAAAAAAAAAAAAAAGAATGTATTTGTATGCACCATGTTTAACACTAGAAGAAGAGCCTGGGTGCCAGAAGGCAAGGCTTGGTGCTGCAGATCTTGTGGAAGTTCTTCACTTTAATGACATCTCCTTGGAAGCCACCATGGAGCCTTGGTAGTGAAGAAGGTTGTATGATGGGCTGATGACAGCAAGGTTGGTAGTTAGAGTTTACAAGACACTAAGTGGGAGAAAGTTGAGGACTTCTGCTCATGTTAAGGTTGTTATGTGCCATCAAGTTGCTTGTGACTCATAGTGACCCTAAGTACAACAGCCCTACACCTTGCTCTATCTTGTGCTCTATCTTCTTGTCTCTGACACACCTACCCCCATTACGCCAGTCACAGAATCAATCCATCTCATCCAGGGTCTTCCTCTCCTGCACTGTCCCTCCACCCTCCCAAGCATGACATCCCTCTGCAAGGACTGATCCCGCCTTGCAACATGTCCAAAGTATGTCAGACAGAGGTTCAGAATCTTTGCCTCCAAGGAGCAGCCTGATTTCACCCTCTCTTGGATGAAAATGTTTGTTCTCTTAGCAGTCGATGGTATATTCAATACTCTTCTCCAGCACCACAGCTCAAAGGCATCAATTCTCCTTCTATCATCCCTAGTCATTGTTCATAATTCTGATGCATAGCAAGTGATTATGAAGACTATGGCCTGGAACAGGTGTACCTTAGTTTTCAGACTGATATCTTTGCTCTTTAGTACTTTGGAGAGGTCTATGACAGCAGACTTACCCAATGCATGTCGTCTTTTCATTTTCTGGCTGCTGATACTAAGAGTATTGATTATGGAGGCAAGCAAACTAAAGCTGTTGACAATCTCTTCACCGTCTATCATGAATGATGTTACCCATCAGCCCAGTGGTGAGAATCTTTGGGGTTTATGGGTTTAAAAAAAAAAAATCCACTAGTTTATTTACAAAATTTGAATACATTGCTTTCAGGAACAAATTCTTTCAATTTCCCTCACCCCACACTCCACAAATCGTACAACCCCACGATTAATCCCCCTACCCCTACATATTCTCATCCCTCTGCTTCCAACTTCTCCCACCCCTCTTGCATCCTTATACTCATTATATAATAATGGTTTTATACAATATTTATCCTTGTGGGACAGAGTGAGTTCACTCAGCATAATGCTATCCAGTCCCTCCCAAGTTAGGTAATAATTTACAAAGTCATTGCTCCTGCGCGCTGCATAGGAGAATCTTTGTTTTCTTGACGTTGAGCTTCAATCCATATTGAAGGTTGTAGCCCTTGACCTTCTGCAGCGAGCACTTCAAGGCTGCCTCAGTTTCAGCAAGCAGGGTTGTGTCATCTGCATAATGCAGATTGTTGATGAGTCTTCCTCCAATCCTGATACCACACTTATCCTTATAGAGCCCAGCCTCCTGGATAATCTGTTCCGCATATAGAGTGAAAAAGTATGGAGATAGGACACATCCCTGGCCAACACCCTTCCCAATTTTGAACCATGCATTGTTTCCTTGCTCAGTTCTGAAGACTGCCTCCTCGTCCGAGTATAGTTTTCACATAAGCACGATCAAGTGTTCTGGGATTCCCGTTCTTCTCAGAGTCAGCCACAGTTTGTTGTGTATGTTGACGTTTACAGTCTTGAGAAATGATGGAAGATCTTCATGAGTGGTAACTGAATCTAAAGCAGCGAGTTCTGGCTTAGTGGTAAATTGGTTTGGGGGCTCTTGCGGTCTAGTGGGTAAGGAGTACCGTTATCAATGCAGAGGCAGCTGTCGAAATCCACTAGCTGCTCCACGGGAGAAAGATGAGCATTCTCTCTCGTTACAGCCTCTGAAAATCCGCTGGACGTCAGCTCTGAGTAAATTCGTCTTAGTTCCAGGCACAGGTGGTGTTGGCGCCCAAGCTGCCTGCCCTTTTGTGCAGATTCAGCCTTAAAGGCTGAGAGAAGGCTGGGGAAAACCCAATGTATAAAGGTGTCTTTGAACCTTGAACTCAGACCTGCAGGGCGCAGCGGCAAGGACACGCCTCCAGGAGCAGCGCTGCCTTGGCGGCAGGCAGGGTCCTAACCGTGAACCTGTCCCTGGAGACTCCTGTGGGCGGGGCAGGGCGGGCGCCAATGGGCCGGGCGCCTGGCAGCCGCGCCTTCCCGGAGCGCACCGAGCGGCTCTCCACCTCCTGGAGCCCCGAGACCATGGGGAAGCTGCTGGCTTTGACCCTATTGGGGATCGGCCTGGCCCTAGTTGGGGAGAGATTATTGGCATTTAGGTGAGTTTGATATTTTGGGGGCGTCTTCTGCTTTTTCTCTCCTTTCCCAAGTTAGTTGAAGGGCAGCCAGGTGTCCTCTTCAAGTGCGCGCAGAAATCAGAGGCTTTGGGAGCCCCACGTTTCCTTCCCTGACAATCCCTGGGATGCTTCTCTGAAAAAGTTTCTTCGGTGGAAACTGGGCTGACTTTCTAAAATTCAGGGTGGAATTGTTCCTATTTTTTTCTTTTTTTTCTGAAAGTCGTGACCCTTTTCCCAGGGCTCCCTTGGCACTCTGCTCACGCAGAAATCAACTCCCTGGGAAGAACAGTTCTGGGAGGGGATCAAAATATCAGCTGAATGTTTATGACCAACTTGGACATTGCCCAAGGCCAAGTCTGGTTGTACTGAAGAGTGTTGGGTTATATAAGACCGACGATGATTTAAACAGCTAGCCAAACGGTGAGGGAGGGAGCTTAAGCCGCAGGTAGTAACTGACATTTTCTAGGTTTCCAACCTTCACAGCCGACGATCTGTAATAATTATCTCAGGGAAAGTCTGTACAGGGCTAGAAAGATGGAATGCTAGGTGATGACTGGCGACCTTAAGTGGGTCTAAAATATCTACTTGTTTTCAGTTGTCACCCTGCTGTTTGTATATCTTTAAACAAGAATTGGTTTCCCCCAAATTCACCTCTAGAATTTGTCACTGTACCTAGTCCAGTCTGCAGAATTTATTATCATATTTACTACCAGTCCCCCTAAGTGATAGTCATACACCCTTCTCTCATAAAATATATAAAAGAATTTTTTTTTAAAAATTGGTATTAACGTAAGTCTATGTGTAAAGTCTTTCTTTTATGTAGAAAGGAAAAAATCTTTGTAGAAGAAAGCAACATCTTGTTTTCACGGTGCTTCACAAGAGGTTGAGGCATAACGTAACCAATTGGTTAAATTGTGGTCAGTTTAATTGATTTGCATGCACAGTTAGTATAAAATAAAAAAAATAAAAAAGCAAAGTTAGAGGATATTACTTTTATCTTTTAATATATGGAAAACCTTATTGATTTGGAGGAAGGAAATTGGAGGGGGTTTTGAAATGCAAAATCATTGTGTTAAGGGAAGAAAGTGAAGATTTACAATAGCTCCTTTGCAAATGAAAGAATATAATTTGTTTTTTTTTCAATTAACAATATTATTCTATTACTCATACTATTAAAATGTATATTTTATCTGGGCAGCAAAATGTTTATATAATCACATGTGAATCTTTGTAATGACTGAGTGGAATTATATTATCACCTTTACATTCCTCTGATAGAGTTAATCAATAGGAAGGTGACCAAAGGTCATGTTTGAGTGTTGATAATCTCTGGTGTTGGATTTTCTTGTCCACAGTAAAAGAAGTAATATGTCCCGAGAGGTGAAGCCAGTAGTACCTGGAAACTGTTACCATGTTGAGGGAGTTGGTAAGTATGTAAAGTATCTAGAGGAGACAGTACAAGTTTTTCTATGATACAGTCCAAGATTTTCATCACCATTTATCTGCCAAGGCATGAATACCTGTCACTCTATAAAAGTAGGACTTCTACCTCCATCACTTTACCCAAGCAACACAATCCAAACTCTCTTCATCATTTGAAGACTGTCATTAACTGCTTCTTGGTCTTCTCCAATACCTCATTTTCCCTTTTTTCTGTTGCCTGTCTTTTTTGTTGTTGTTGTTGTTATTGTTCTTTCTCTTTATCCCTTCCTCCCTTTGTTTGATGGCATTTCTGGCTTCAAAGTTGACTTCTTTAAAAGTTTACCAGCAAATACTAAGAATATAACTTCACCTTTACCATACAGCTTACTGAGATTCTGAAATCTAAAAAACAGTCACATACCTAACAGCTCAAACGTCAGGTCTTCATATTTAGTTAGCAAAGGGCAGCTGTATCTCACTCAGTGCAGTCTAAAACCTACATCGTGTTTCTGTAATGACCTTCCTCATTTCTTAGTCCACCAACTCTTCATCTGAACTTCTCCATGGGCAGTACTCCATTCTTAAGAGACACTTCAAAACTCACAGACCATTTGTTTTTTTCTCTGCTCCTCATTCTCCATGTATAACATGTTGGCATTTTTCTTTTCTGTTCTGTCACACAGAACAAACCTTATCTACTAGTTACTGCAAGAACTTCTTATTTAAGTTCTTAGCTTCCAAGTCTTTCTGACATTGCTGAGACAGAGAGAAAGGGAGGGGTGGACGGGGAGAGAGAGAGAGAGAGAGAGAGATCTTCAGAGCTCTATTCTGTTCACCTGTTCTGGGAATGTGTGCTTTCAATTTCTCACCTTTGCTCATGAAATTCTCTTTACTTATTTCTCTGTCTTTGCTTGCTGAAATCAGAGGCAAAATCGTCTCTTCACCGGCTGAACTCTCCAAGCACTCCACAACTAGGATTCATTTATGGCACCTGCCACACTTATTTATTTTAGAGCTATCAGTATTCTTTCTTTCTCTCCCCATCAGATTGTAAACTCCCCAGGGTCAAGGACTGTGACTTACTTATCAGTGTGTGGCAGGATAGTTTGTTGTAATATGAATTCATATTTTTCTTTTTCTTGCTGTAGAAGAAACAGAAAGAATAAGTGCTTTTTGTGATTTTGGTTTTCTTTTTCTTTTCTTTTAAATTTATTCCTCTCAATTTCTAATGAAAAGCAGCCTGAACTTTGTGCTCTGTAGTCTTAGGGGAGGTTTGTGCTGTAAGTGAAAAGCACAAGTAGCTCTGAGACAAGTCTCTTCCTGACGTGTTTTCAAAAGCCTGAGCTCCTTCAAGGGACTTGGATGGAAGAGGGATAGATATGTGGGTTTATTTTTAAATAGCAGAAACTCTTGCCTCACTGTCTAACAACCTTCTGAGAAATGAACAAGAGTTCAGAAAGATGGACACAGGGTAAATTAAGATGATTGGACCCTTTGCACTCAATTCAGAGGTGAATTATAGCACTGCTTAATATAAAGCCATGACATGGACTTGACACTGAGTAATCCAGTAGCGACTAGTGTGGATCAAAGACCAAATGATCTTCCTGAAAATACTCTGGCCAGTTTTAAGACCAATTACCTAGGATCTTTGTATACCCTAGCAAAGAGATGCAGCAATCCCTTAGATGGGGGTTCAAGGTCAGATGTAACTTGATTTAAAAAGTAACAAAATGTGATATTCATTTGTTTACTATTTTTTTCAATAATATTTATACATGCTACCTACACTACTTACACTTGGAACACATTAGGATGATTATTTTGTTAAAGGGTGGATAACAAATATTGATGAGGACATAGAGAAATTGAAACCACCATGCATTGCTGTAGGAATAGAAAGTAGGTACAGCTTCAGTGAAAAGCAGACAAGTAGTTCCTCAAAACACTAACATATTATTGCCATTTGGCCCAGTGGTCCACTGCTAGATAGATATATATATCTCCTAGAGAGGGAAAAGGAGAGACTCAAGTCAAGCAGCTATTTCTACATGTTCATGACAACATTATTCACAGTAGTCAAAGCTGACAACAAACCTCTGATCAATGAATGGATTAACAAAATATGGTACAAATATATAGTGGAATATTATTTAACCATAAGGAGAAAAATAAAACCTCTGATACACGCTATGATGAGGATGAACATTGAAAATAACATAGTGTGTGTAACAGGACTCAAAATATTGCATGACCTTCTTTATATGAAGTATCTATAGTAGTAGCACAGTGCATACAGTTAAAAGCTTAGTAGTTGTTGTTGTTATGTGATGTTGAGTCACTTGTGCCTCAAAACAACCCTATGTACAATGACCCTGAAATCTGCTCTACTATGCCAACTTTACTGTCTCTGACACACTACCCTCTTACCCCAGTCACTGAGTCAATTCATCTCATTGATGGTCTTCTTCTCTTTCTCTGTCCCTCCACCCTTCCAAGCATGACGTCCCTCTCCAAGTACTGGCTCCTCGCAACATGCCCAAAGTATGTCAGATGAAGCCTCAGAATAGCTGTCATTAGGGGCCAGGGAAGGGTAAAATGAGGAGTGATTGCTTAAGTTTCTGTTTAGAATGATGAAAAACATTTACATTAGGGTGGTTTTGATAATTATGCAAAATGATGAATGCAATTAATGTAAAACAATTATATATTTAAACTGGCAAATGTTTTTCATATATATTCTATATTGTTGTTGTTGTTGTTATGTGCCATCGAGTCACTTGCAACTCATAATGACCCTATGTACAAGAGCTCTAAACTCTGTTCTATTCTGTGCCAACCTAGCCATCTCAAATGTACTCATTCTACCACTCCAGTCACAGAATCGATCCATCTCATCGAAGGTCTTCCTCTCCTGCGCTATCCATCTACTCTGCCAAACATGATGTCCCTCTCCAAGGACCAGTCTCTCCTTGCAACATGCCCAAAGTATGTCAGACGAAGATTCAGAATCCTTGATTCCAGCTTCACCTTCTCCAGGACAAACCTGTTTGTTCTCCTAGCAGTCCATGGTATATTCAACACTCCTCTCTAGCACCACAGCTCAAAGGCATACATTCTCTTTCTATCATCCCTATTTACTGTCCAATTCTCTGATGCATAGCACATAATTGTGAAGACTATAGCCCGGAACAAGTGCACCTTAGTCTACAGCCTGATGTCGTTGCTCTCCAGTACTCTTGAGAGGTCCCTCACAGCTGATTTTCCCAGTGCAATTTGTCTCTTGATTTCCTGGCTGCTGTTACCAAGAGTGTTGATTGTGGAGCCAAGTAAACTAAAACTGTTAACTATCTCAATCTCTTCACCATCCATACTGATGCTGCCAATTGGCCCATTGGTGAGAATCTTTGTTTTATATATTATATAGATCTACATTAATGCTTAAATATATGCCAAATATGATGGCACTGCAGTAAAAACATTAGAAACTCTCCATACCAGCCAGAAACAGAACAAATAAGCCTATCCGGCTGCTTTATGAATGGTTTATTGTCTATGAAGCACTCTGTTGAGCCCTAAACAAACAGCTATGTAATCTTCACAATCCGTTTGTAAGGCAGGTGCTGTGCTAGCTGTGTTTTGGAAACATGGAATGAAAAGATGGAGTAAGTGATTCACACAACAGTCCAGAATTAGTGAGTGATATGCCTGGATTATGAGCTCTGAGTGGTTTTCTCTTCTGTGCCCTCGCACTTCCTGTTCATAGTCCTGCTTTTCTTATCTGCTGACAACACTTTTTTTTATTATAGAAGCTTCAGGTAACCAAATTGAAGCAGCAAACAACAACAACAACAACAACAAAAAAAAATAATGGAAATAAGCCAAACAATAAAATTGGAAATATTAACAAAAGCTGACCAGAACCTTGAATAGGCATGCTAATTATTTAAATAAAGATTACTATTAAGACTACAATGTTGTTGTTGTTGATTGTCTTTGAGTTGAGCACGGCTCATCACAACCCTATGAACAAAAGACTCGAAGCCCCTCTACAATTATCGTCATTTATCAAAGTTCATAGTTTCCAAAGGCATGTGGTTTAGGAAGTGGGTGCCACTCCTGCTTCCAAATAGCTGGTGGAAAAATCATCAGAATAATTTTTGCAGGGCTATGTTAGGCAGTAAGAAGGGTGGGGGAAAATTTTGGTTTGTATTTTCTCTAAGACAGAGACATATGGAGTTAATTTATTGTTAGGAGAAATGTTGTTGTTGTTGTTATGTGCCGTCTATTCGCTTGCGACTCATAGTGACCCTATGTACAACAGCCCTAAACTCTGCTCTGTCCTGTGCCAATCGCACTGTCTCTGACACTCCCATCCCAATTATCCCAGTCACTGAATCAATCCACCTCATAGAGGGCCTTCCTCTCCTGTGCTGTCCCTCCACCCTCCCAATACTTCCTTTTCTAATTTAACTTTTTTATTATGGTTTGGGTGGAAGGTTACAGAGCAAACTGTCTTTTCCATTCCACAATTTATATACATTTATTTCATGACATGCATCATTGTTGTCGTGTACCATAGAGTCAGAACTGAACCATAGCTCACCCTCCAGTGGGTTTTCAGAGGCAGTTAATCACATGGGAGGAGATTGCCCATCCTTGTCCCATGGAGTGACTAGTGGCCTCGAAATGCATGCCTTCAGAATTGCAGTTCAGCTTCTTTCCACTAGGCCACCAGAGCATTTCCCAAAATGTAACATCACTTTTCCTGTTTCTTCCCTGTGTTCTCCCTTTCTATAAGTCTTTTTGTCTTATCCCCTTCTGGTTTCTGACAAATATCCTTGGAAAAATGCTGCTCTTCCTCCCACACACACCTTTTGATTTTATATGGCTTGTTGTTTTAAGAAGTGTGTGTGTCTTCTTCGTCTGAAACTACATTTTCTTTCTCCAATTCAAGGAAAAGTTGGACGATTTTTCCTCCCAGATATAATATCTTCCAGATAC